CTACTATAAATGAGCAACATATGTGGCACTAAAAAAAGTAAACCCAGTTTAATCCATTTTGTAGAACAAAAGCAATTGGAATCATATATAATACCATTTTCTGCAGTGCTAAAAAAAAATTAGCAAGGGTATAAACTTCCAATTAGTTAACTAAGTAACACAGCAGAAACTTATAAATAGGAGAAGTCTGTCGGGTCCTTGTGAACAGAAGCAGGAAGGAGAGGAGGTGTGCAATTGCACTTCTTTCTGAAGGTGATGCACATGTCGGACACACACCTGGGAAAACAGCCTGTTCAACACTTACAAAGGACCGCAGTTCCGAGAGCACGTTTGATATCACCGCGTTGGGGTCATCGCACTCCTGGGGCTGCTCGAAGGGATGTCCCGCTTTCGTGATCAGCCAAGCAGCGAGCGTGCAAAACATGAAGAACTGCTCACCGGGATTGGTGGGCAGTGCAAAGTAGTGCCTGTTTCAAAAAGCAGGAAGAATGGCAAATATTTTGAGCTCCCGGAGCTCTTACAACATTACAGGCCAGCACACACCACAGAGCAGTTTCTTTACCTGACTTTCTCAATGAGCAATCCATCTGAGCTAAATTCAGGATGCCTGGTTTCACACATAATCACAGCAGACTAAGTTTTCACAATCCAGCTGAATTGTTTCCAGGTTTGAGTAAGCTATTAATCAACATTAATTTCCAAGGAATCAAATAGAAACTGAGTACTCCTCTCTCCTGCCAGCAGGATACCTTCAGATAAACACCACCAAATTAACATTTCCACACAAACCAAACTTACTACTCTTGTTGGAGGAGCAACTTGGAGGAGCTGTTTACCTGAGCAGTCTCAAATCATGATGAGCTCAATTCTGTTACCATTACAAAGATGCAGAATCCCATTGCTTCATAAAAATACTGCCACTGGCTAATTGAGAACCATGCAATAGATTCATTCAAGTATCCCTTGCTTCCCTGCTCCAAACATCCCAATGGTCTGACAGCTTGCTAGAACGAACTTACAGCTGCTTCAGCCTGCTTCCCAACAAGGGAATAATCTGGACTGCCTCTTTTTCCCCTACCTACCAAAATGTTGATTATAGAAAGCTTAACTCTGACACGCTGCTGTGGAGCCTTGTTGAACCTGACAAGATGGATTTGAAAGTTGTTTGGGCAGTTGGATGTTGGGAACATATTGGTCCCATTTCCCAAGTTTCCTGCCTCCTCCCATAATTTAAAAAAAAACCCAAACATATGAAGAAATATATACTGGATATGAAAACCCAGACTTAACAAGAATGGATCCAAGACCCTTTTTGCAAAGGGTCAGAAAATATACACTCCGCACAAATAGTGACGCTGAATTCAAGACACTCGGAATTATTTAGAATTATTTAGAATTTACGTAGAACTATTTTTGGCAGAGGTACCTTCGCATGCAGCTATCCAGTACCTGTCGGGGGGGGCAGGGAAGCTCAAGTGCTATTTACTTATCACATCTCAGCCTTCAGCGTTATGAAAGCTTCCAGATGACACGGGAAGCTGTGCCTCTGGCTGGTTTTGCCTTGAGCCAGGACCTGGCTGGACCTGCCAGGCGGGACCTGCCCTCCTTCCTGCCCTGGGCTCCGACCGCTCGCTGGGATTTCTCCCCCTCCGACCCCCTCCCGCTGCCCCGCGGGCCAGGAGCACCTGGAGAGCGGCCTCATGTTGTGGCGCCTCAGCGCCTCCTCCTCGTAGCTCAGCAGCTTCAGCTTGTCCAGCAGGTCCTCCATGACCACGAACATGTGAAAGGCCGCGCCGGGGCCGCGCTCTGCCGGACCCTCGTCCGCCGGCCGCTCCCGCTCCCGCTCCCGCTCCCGCTCCCGCTCCCGCTCCCGCTCCCGCTCCCGCTCCCGCTCCCGATCCCGATCCCGATCCCGATCCCGATCCCGATCCCGATCCCGATCCCCCCGCCGGCCCATCCCGGCCTCCTCCGCCATCTCGGCCGCCCGTAACCAAGGCAAAGCGGCCTGGGGTGGGCTGGTCACGCCCCCCGGCCAATCAGCGCGCACGGGGCACAGTAACCCCGCCCATCATCACCATATATGGTGGGGGTGTGGCCCCGCAGCCCCTCCCGGCGCCGCTGGATCGAGGCTTTGAACTTTCCCGGTTCCACACGAACTTCGGAGTGGTTTGCGTGGTGGGCAGTATCTCGTGACCTCAGGTGCGGCACTCTGCAACTGGATGTGTGGGAGAGTAAGTCTCGGGAGCTGAGGAGCTGTAGCGGGAGGTCAGTTGCGGCCGGCGGCTGGAAGTGCCGCGGGGCGGTGGGGAAGGGAGCGCGTGGGAAAGCTGGGACTGCCGGGAATGTGCTTGGCACTGGTGAGGCACTTCTAGTGCTGTGTCCGGTTCTGGACCCCTCAGTTCAGGAGGGACACTGAGGTGCTGGAGTGTGCCCAGAGAAGGGCGGCAGAGCTGGGGAAAGGGTTGGAGCACAATCTGATGGGGAGCGGCTGGAGGAGCTGCGGGGGCTTAGCCTGGAGAAGAGAAAGCTCAGGGAGACCTCATCACACTCTACAACTCCCTGAAAGGAGGTTGTAGCCAGCTGGGAGTCAGTGACTTCTCCCAGGCAACTAGTGACAAGAGGACACAGCCTCAAGCTGCACTAGGGGAGGTTGAGGTTGGACATTAGGAGGAATTCACAGAAATTGTTGTCAAGCATTGGAACGGGCTGCCAGGGAGGTGGTGGAGTCACCCTCCTTGAAGGCGTTCAAGAAACAGCAGGTTGCGGCACCTTATTGACAAGGTGGCGATCAGTCAAAGTTTGGACTTGATCTCGGAGGTCTTTTCCAACCTAAATGAGTCTGTGATTCACTGAATGTAGGAGACACACCTCACCTGTGTACTGCTGACATCAGACAAGGCCTTTGAAGAGAGACACCTCTTCTTCCAACTTCTTCCTGCATTTTGTTTGGGTTTTTTGTAAGCTCTCTTCCAGAAAATGCTTGAGTCATTCTGTCAGTTTCTTCTGCTGGAAACCAGATAGCACATGCTGGGCCTGTACTGTCTGGAGAAAAAGAAGCACCAGGGAAATATTATTAGAAACTAATCACCTCCCCTGCAGGCAACCCAAGGCACCTTCTTCTTGTTTCAGATTACCAGCTTTCTGAGAAGAGTATCATTATGTTTTCAATCTTGTCTTCTTGTTCTCCTGTGCCCACACAGAGCTGACCTGGCTCCCTGTGCCAGTGTTCTGTCACTGTAAGGGAATTGCAGGTCTGGCTGCTGCGGTGCTCTGGCTCTCTGGGTGCCCCAGCACAATCCCCAGTGGCATTGCCACTGCCGTAGAGATCACATTACTGATGAGAACTGATTTCTTCTCAGTTACAGCTTGCAGGAGTTAAAATTAAAGGGTTTGTTCAACAAAGCTAGGCAAAAGAAATGTTTAAGAGAAAAAGTCTTTTAATCCCAAAGAGGGAGAAAGGAACACAAAAAGTGTGAAAACTTCACATGTGCAGAAACTTAGTTTGCATTGGAGAAACAGCTGCTTTCCTTTATGGGAAAGGCATTAACTGTGCCATGTGTGTGAGGCAAAGATCAACAGAGAATGCTGTATATTTGTTTTTTTGTATATTTTGGTTGCCCATGCAGCCCCCAAAGGCATCACAGAGGTACTGTTTGAACCATGTTACTCTGAGAGTATCACTGCCAATTAAATGTGATTGTCTATTAAATGTGGCACATCACTCACTAAGAGAAATATAGCATTAATTGATGTTTTTGAAAACATCAAGCGTAATATGTTGTATCAATCACAAGTTGGAAGTGATGGGCAAATGAGTGAAGAATCCAATCAAACATGATCTACACCACTTGCAAATGGAAAGAGAAATGAAGGTGAATAGTGGCAGTTGTTGCTGACATGGAGCGAAGTTATATATCATAAATGTTTGTTTTACTCTTGCATCACCTCTGTCTCGGATTTAATATCTTGATGCGTCTTTGTTGGTTTTGTTTTGGTTTGTTTTTTTCTCCTAATGAATAGTGAGAATACATAAAACAATCACAGTAGCTTTACAAAAGAAATAACATGCAAAAATCATTGGGATGTAAGATTTACATTCACCACAAATTGTACAGTCACACCTCCTAGTCAAAATCATTCATTAGTATCAAAAGAACTGGCTAGCAAGCCTGGCTAAGCCTATGCCCTGTGTAAGTTAGGAATGGTACCTATAGCTGCCTTCCGAGAGGAGGAGGACTAGGGAAAGCTCTTTAAACTCTTTTCAAGCTATTTGATTCATGAGGTAATTTCTCCACTGTGGTGTGCTGTATTTTAGGATGTTATGCCTGAATGGAGGAAGAGTGCGGTTTAGCAGCTACAATAAGATTATTCTTTTTCTATTATGCATGAGAGCCTTCAGTTCATTGCTATTTAAATGACAAACCAGAAGATATGATGAGAGACTCTCCTCTGCCTTTGCATTCCTATCCTAGACTTCTATACACACCTTTTTGAAAGTTCAGCTGATGTCCTTTTGATCTGATGAAAAGTGGGAAAAGTTCTCTATATCTGCAATATTTGCAAATACAGTCAAATTTCCCATCCAAGACAGTCAAGTGTTGTAGTAATCAGAAATATATTTTAAGAAGTAAAAACCAAAAATCACACTTGACAAGGGGCATGTTACATCATTTTGCAAATTGTACTTGACCATTTTTACTTGGTGTCCTGTTCAGGAATGATGAAGATATACCCTAGCCCTGCAAGAACACTGAGAGTAAACACTTTCTATTTATTACAAATAAAGTATCGATCTGCAAGGCAATGAGAGGGCCTCAACCATTATGAAATGCATAGGATCATAAGGCCAAAAATCTGGGCCAAGACTTTTGGTAAGAAAAAACATGGTACAAAGGCCTACAGTTCCTAATAAGCTGTACAAAGGAAATGATATCATTATGGTGTGTCTTTTACCTGCCTTTAAACATGTTTTCTCCCCCTCTTTCTGTTGCCAGTTTGACATGAGTCTACTATGAACCAGTGAAGACATGAAGGGACAGAACATATCAACTCTTACCATCTATTTATTTTACATCAGTGCTACACTTTGGGGTAGGTTTTAGCTGAAAAATAATAAAAACAACAATTATTACTTATTTCTAATGGGGAGAATTAATTAATTCAAACACTGTTTATTAATGGTAAAGAATTGAGGAATGTGTGAGGAATGCACACTCCAATTATCTCTGGGGGCCGGGACAGAGCTCCCGGTCTGTGGTGGCAAAGCTGTTTCAAGATGTTCTGCCCTTCCTGCGAGTTACACCATCACATCCTTTTTTCCCCTGTGATGGTACAACTGCCTGGCACCATGTGAGGCTGGTTGGTAACGTGGGTCATTGCAGCACGGCACTGTGAAGGTATGAGCAAGCTGCAGCTCAGAAGGGTTTGAAGTTCAAGGCGGAAAAGGTGTGGAAACACATTTGAAGCTCAGGTGGTAAGGTGGCAGTGTGCTGATTTGAACATGTAGGTGCATACTCAGGATTTCTACCTAAAGTTTACCTCAAGTTTAAAGACCAGAGCTCTGTGTTATAATATTGATTAAACTGAATGAAGACCCTTGATGTCCCAAGGAACTCATACAACAGAAAAGCATGAAAGAGACATTGGCACACTGGGTAGGAATGTTCTGCCTGCAAGAGTATTTTTTTTGTCAGGGATAAGGAAGGGCAGAAGTATACTTATAGACTGGATTAAACTTACTTATTTGTACTTATGGGCTTTAGGTTTTACAGAACAGGAAGAAGTTACAGGGCTGTTTTTTCAAGGATTGCATCCTGCCTTGTTCTTTCCCACCTGAGAACGATGTTGTAATTCACTGGCACAAAGGGGGGAAATGTGTGCACTCCTACTACCACCAGAAGGATTGGCTGGCAGATAGCTCAGAATACATTAACAGAACACAGCTTTTCTGTGAGAACATCCCTGGTGGAAACACCTCCTTGAAAATTTGTAACCTGACTGTGACTGATGAGGGCACTTATGAATGCTGTGTGGGAACAACGCAAAATTCTACAAACCAGAACGTCATGCTACATGCAACAGGTCAGTAAGACATCAAAAATACTTGGATAGCGCCAGTGGAAACGGGATGATTTTCTCGTGTTGTTTCTTACATGGAATCAAAATCCTCCAACCCAATAGAGCCTATTTTGGGCCTGATGGTGTTATGAAGCAATTTGCTGTCTCTGGTGAAACACTGTAACATGAGTTGAAAAATTACAGTGCAGCACTTGTTTTCATAACCTACTGCACAGTGATTTCTAAGGGGTTGTTAGGTGTTATATGTTATGTGGCTTCTCAGAATAGTACAGACCCTGGCATTGACAGTAACTCGCTATGCTTTCTTCTGAAATTTTGAAAGTAGAAAGATTATTTATTTATTTATTTATTTGTTTTGAAATCTACAGTTTCCTCTTACTATGCACTGGAATACCAAAAGACAGATACAGAAAGGAAACTTAAGTGCTATGCCTTTCTCACTTATTCAGCGCCAAATATATCTTGGCTATAAGGCAATATATCCATCCAAGAAATAGATTGTGAGGAAACCAGGGATGGAGTTCTCTATTCTCTTAGAAGTGACCAGAACATTATAGACACAACAGCAGACCCTTACTACTCTCATATTCATGTCCATTGTTTAATCTGGACTGCTGAATGGAAGATGCAAGGTAGGAATGAATGGAAGTCTCTTCCTGCACCAATACTAAATGTCACAGCTGGCTTCAGAGCCAAACCGAGGACAGTATTTCTGCAGTGGGGCAACATGGATATGGAGTAGTGCAAAAGGATATACCCTTCTCTTTGAAACTCATCTGTTAGGATTACAAGGCAGCATTGCAATTTAAATCCCAGAAGTAGAAATGAGAGGAGCTAGCTCACCCTTCTGTAAGTTACTTTTGCTCCGAATATTTCTTCCATATGAGTTTCACATTTTAAGAGGTACCTAATAAATAAACTTTAAACTCTATCAAGGAAAGAATGAACTTGGACAAAATACATGGAAACCTTAGAGAATATGTGGGTTATATGAAAGTTTGCCTGCTGCTCTAGCTGTGTATGGTCCTTACTCAGTCCGTTTCCCATCTTTTGCCAGACTTTTATCAGTACTGTTTGATCCTTCCACTGTACATGCCAGTTTGAGTGCTGGGCTGCATGGGAATGGAGAGCAGCAAACACTGCCTGCATTTTAGCAAACAGCAGCTCATTTTGTTAGTTAAGGAAAATCAGGACTATGAAACTTCAACTCTTTTTTTCCTCCTCCTGAATTTCGTTGGAAACTCAGTTCGAGTAAATAACTGAAACTTTTTGACCTCTCCTGTACCTTAGGAAATATTTTTTAATTGGATTAAGAGCAAAGCAAGAGCAGTTTCCCTGTGAGATGTGCATGGCTGCTTCCATCACCCTGATTTCCCCCTAACATGTACCGAAATGCTCTCAGTTCCTAATCCATTGCTCGTGCTTCAGAACAAGAGCACGGTTTTTAATGGAATAGCTTACAATATGGAAGGTTTCAAGTATGCCATCATAGTAGCTGACAATTGCACTGTAAGTCTCTGTTTTGATAATCTATGCCTCTTATCTGCCAGAGAAAAATGTACATTTGGTTACACTTTTATTTGAATTTTACTGCACTCATCTATCCCCCTCAGCAGAACATTTTGAAAGCGAACTGCCTTATTTTTCCTTCTATAATAGCAGTGTGAGGTACAGTTCTGTTTTGTTTTGTCTTCATGATTTTCTACCCCATACCTCTGTTCATTCAGCCTTACACACAGAAATCAAGCGTGGTTATACCATGTCAAAATAACGTATTAGATTCCTCTCCAGCTGACTGCCAGCCACCACAGCCTCCTCTGGTTTTCCTTTCTTGGCAGAAAATCCCTGCTGTTAAATTGATAGTTGTGCTGTGATGCTAGTTTGTCTTACCTAAATTATAAAATATTAAGATATTCCTTCCACTTACCTGCCTTCTCCTTCCCTTCCTTGTTTTTTTAAAGCTATTCATTAACTGTTAAATGTTCAACATAGACAAGTAAAATACTCAAGTCCACTGTAGCTGAAAGCTATTTCTAGCTAAATACAATCTTTTTATGCTTTTATTGAATTGTGTTGTAAGAGTTTTATCCTTTTGCTTTAAATGTGCAGGTATCTTATTAGTTACATTTTCTCTTTGCTCCCAGCATGTGGATTTCATGCTGCTTTACACAGGAACTAAGACTAGACTGAATCACTTCTATTAATGAGCCCCCCAATTAGAGGAGAAATAGTCAAATGAAAAAGAATTTTTTTAAGTATTGCCAATACCAATTAGATTTTTTTTTTTAGTGTAAGGTAGGTTTGTTTTTAAAATCTTCAGGTCCTTCTAGAAACATATAGAGGTGTTTGAATATTATGTTAAAGTAGTGAAATATGTTTTTATATTTGTTCATAGTAGTATCAGACCTCGTAAAAAAATCAGAAAATGTCTGAATAACCTTCATAGTATTTTCAAAATAACCTACAGAGAGTTCTTTAATTATCCTTTTCAGATTACCTGTCTAATGCAGAAGGAAGTAACACCATAATTCCTTGTGAGTACAGCAATAACACTGCAAACACTGAAGATGTCTGTGTTGTTTGGAAATTAAACAGAAATTCAGTGCCTTCAGTTGTGGCCTCCTTCAATGGTACATCCCACTCTTACCAGCCTCGAGCCCAGATAAACACAAGTGACCCTTCACTGATCCTGCATGATCTTACTGCAGTTGACAGTGGAGAATGTCTGTGTAATACTTCAGCACCCCACTACACAAAACTTTTTGTGACAACTTTGCAAATTGGTAAGTTGCCACTCCTTTCATTTCAGAGGATGAGGACCAGGTAGGGTGATGCACAGCCAAAGAGTCAATCGGAAATCTGTAAAACATTAGAAAAATCGTCTTCTATAATTGGTACAGTTGGGTAGAAGAGATATTTTATTACTGTTGTCCCAGCAAAAAAAGGTTACCTAAAATGTTTTTATTTAAAGACTAGAAATTCCTTATTTTTCAATCAGCAGCTTATTGTGGCCAAGGTCTCTAAATCGGTGGCTGACTTCAGTTGCCACCAACTGCCCTCAGAGCTGAGGGCACAAGGGAACACACAGGATCCTGTTCTAAATGTTCTGCTCCCAGCAAGTATGGCTTTAAAGGCAGCAGAGGGATGATAGGAAACCCAAAGATGTGGTAAAAGTTTGGCTGCAGAAGAAACTTGATTGAAGAGAACACAACAGTTGTTATTTTCAAAACTTTAATTCTACGCTGTGGGCCTCTTCTATGCCTGTGTATAAATATGTTTAAATGCATGCCTGTGTTTTTATAAACTGTAGTAAATTTCCAGCTGTGAAGTCTTAGTTACAGTTTTTTCATTATCAGTAGCACACAGGCTACTTTAATTTTACACAATTAAATACAATCACCTAAAGGACTGAGAACTACTATAGGGCACCTCATCGATGTTTTTTAAGAAAGAAGAGAATTTGAAACAAGCCAGGACATGAAAAATAGTGGCAACATAAGTGAAAAGGAGCTAGAATAAGTGATAATAGCTGAATGTTTTTGTCTTCCTTTCTTGCCCCTCTACCTTGACAGCTTAGTTTCTTTCTGAAAACTTGATGTTTTAAATGGCAGTGGCTATAGACAACCTGAAGGAGGGGAGTTAGATTAAAGAAAACAGTTAAGTCAGACAAACATACTTCCCTGTAGACCAAATTCCAGCATGATCATCCTTATCCTGTAAACCCAGTATTGTGCTTCTGAAGTAGAGAGTGTTGAACACCTCTAAGGAGTCACACATTTAACTGGCTCTCCTAAGTTACATGCACAAGTCCATCCAGTTTAAACTTTATGTTTACTGGAGACAGTCCAAATATGATCAGAATCATCCCCTACAAATGCCTTTCTCTAGCTGCTGTCTACAGATGTATCTTACGATAGCCATAGGTGATAGAAATCCCCTCTTTAATGGTGAAATTACTGTGCTGCTCACAGAATCTTCGTGCTCTTGGACCAGAAATACATTACACAGTACAGAGAAGACACCAGAGAAATTTGCACCTTTGTGGCAGCACAGGCAGAAGGCAGGTAAGCAGATAGACAGTAGGGTGGAAGGGAACAAGACAGGTCACTATGTTGCAGAGCAGTTGTGGCACAGTAGCTGCTCAAGCATCAGAAGGATTTCCAAGTGTCACTGGAAAGAACGCTTTTAAGGGGAAAAGAAGGATGAATTTACAATCATTTAAAAGGGTCTCTCCTGTGTAAGGAAGGGTTGCAGCTTAAAGCTGCTCAACCAAAGGAACTGACAAGATGTGGATACAGAGTCAAGCTAAAGGCAATGACTCAGTTAAATGCTCTGTTTTGGCACTTTTCATTTTTTAACTGTTTCCAGAGGAGCGTAGAATTTTTCAAATTCTTTGGACTAGACACAGCAGTGGAAAGGTAGCCTGAAGTAGAAGAACCATACAGTTCTTCTGACAGTTTGGTGCTGTGCAGAGGTTTGTGCTAGACAGGCAATTGTGTAATCCATTGTTACCACCCACCTTGGGATTTCTTGTGTCCACCTGGATTGCATAGTTGGACTAAGAAGCTGGGAAATGTTTTAAATTAAAGTTGCTAAGATTTTGCAACAGAAGTCGTGGTCCAGGCTGGATAATATTTACAGAGCTGCTCTACTGGAAATCAGCAGAACCATTAATGGCACTGAGCACTGTGCCTGGAGACAGTGTTTAATATACTGGGGCAGCTGATTGGTTTTAAATGGGACTAGTGTTAAGAAGTCATCAAATCATATCACATAAGCACTAATACAATTCTATATCAGGACAATTAAGTAAAATAATGTGCTTTTGGCTTTTTCTCTGTTTCCTTTTAATATTTCTTTCTCCCTAAATCATAGCTTTTAGATTATAAATAAGAAAAATCATTGCTTTGATATAGTTATTGAACAATAGTGAACATTAATTTGTGATATAAAGCACTTCTGTTAAACTTTTTGGAATTTTTATTTTTAAAGAAAATTCAAGTAACACCTGGAAAATCATGCTAGGAGTAGGAGTGCCTGTTGCAGTGGTGCTGGTAGCAGGATGCTGTCTCTATATGAAGGTATGTACAATCATTAGAGTATTTATTTTTTAAGGCAATATTGATACTGATCCCCTCAAGATTTGCATTGGGGTTTGAGTCAAACTTTGCAACTTTTTATGAAGCATTATGATGCATTTGTAATAGGCTGGCTCTGTCTTAGAATATTCTGTCTTTTTCTTCTGCATTTGTTGTAAGTACCCTTAAAAACCCCAAACTTTCATTATTAGTCCATCTTTCTGTGCTTGGCAGCACAGCCCTATCCATGGAGAGATACACCTCCAAACTCCCTTGGGTTTTGTCACAGTCTGAATTTGGTAAGCTTCAGGAGGCATTTGTCGATGGTTACCGTGAGGTTCAGCAAGAATATGTGATTATGCCTCAGTCCTTTTTCATGTGTGTCTCACTTGGAGATTCACTTACATGGTTTTTATTAGTCAATTTTAATGCTAACATGCTTTAGAGATGATAATATGCTTTTGCAATGCAGGTCTTTAAAGGATTTAAGCAAGATTATCTTGGGACCAATTGAGACTTTGAACATATCATAATCAGAGGAAGTGGAACAGTTTACGGGGTAACTCAGCTCTGGTTCCATTGATGAAGGACTTGATGGAAGAAACAGGAATGTTTCTGCACTATTACATGGATGCTTATTTTGTTCAGATAATGTTAAAATGGAAAATGCTGACTTTTAACTTTACAGAGAGTGTGTCTTGTTCTGCTCCTACTAGGGGATTAATTTTACACTTCAGTAGTTCTTACAAGCATTTTTGTTTTGCCTAGCTACGCAGAAGGGCAGAAATCCTATGAGCACCTTGACGTACCAGAAAAAAAGAAAATCCTTCTGTGCACACAGGTGCACTTGAAATTGTTGTTGAACAAAGAGTTCCTTCATCTTCCCCTTTCAGTTACAGCAAGAAGCCACATGGAAATGTGATTCTCTGAGCAACAGTAACAAACAAAGGAACTGATAGAAGGTGAAAAAAAGTCAATTGACACTTGTATGTGAGAAGCTGGCATGCAAAATTGGAACCTGGATTTCCCAAAGGGACAGAGTATTTTCCACAGAAGAAGAAATCCCTAAGTTTTGAGGGATTTTTTTTTTTTTCCAGTGTTAGGGAAAGAGAAGGCTTACTGTTTTTAATTTCTTTTAGTATTTATCCTGGGTTACACAAAACTCTGGTATCCACCTTTTCTCTTTTCCCAAAATATGCTAATTTAGATTGTGGGGAGGGACTTAAGGAGAGTACTCTATTATCCTAGGAGAAGAATGTATCCACAAGTGTGAAAAGACTGGAATGCTGATGCCTCAGACAATCCAGGTGTGCACACCTGCCACCTCAGGCTACCAGCTGGGTGTCATTTCTTTGTCCTTGCACAAATGACTCATCTGTGATAACTCCCCTCGAGGAGGCATCAGGACAATTCACTCACATGGCCTGAAGATACTTAGCTCTGCTGATGGCCATAATGGATCCACCTGTGCTGACAGTACAGGCAACCTTAAAATCTTAGAAGGTGTCCAAGGTTCTTGAAATCTCTCAGGATCCAGTATTCATCAATCAGTGAAGAACTCCCTGCCTCGGGGGAGTTACCGTGGGTGTTCCCACCTACCCTGAGCCCAATAAAAGACCACACCTGGACTTCACTCAGGAGGTTGAGGGTTTCCTCCCGTCATGTCATGGGAATTCTACCACCCAGGCCTCTACCACCACCACCTTTGATGGATCAGGACTACAACCACCATCAGAGCTGCAGTGACCAGGTCTCACTGCTGCATCCAGTGGGTGTCTTGTGGGTCCTTCCAGTCTCAGCCCTGCTCCAACTGCTTGAGCCAGCACTGCAGCCTCACTCCAGCACTGACCCTCCAAACTATTCCTTCCAGGTTTTAACGGGTGAGGGGAGACTGACTGCCATCTCATTTTGGTATGGTGAGTGGGAGCTTTTGAATTTTCTGGTAATCTTAACCCAGTTTTATCAGTACTGTTGTTTATCGTTCTTCCTGGTAGAGAGTTATTTTTTTTCATTTACGTCCGAGTGTATTTGATCTCTGTCTCTCTCTGTATTGGAAAGAGCCAGGGATATTGAACTGGAGGAAGGAGACTTCCATCTGAGGTCTCCTTCCCCCCCAAATTGTCTCAAACCGAGACAATATTTTAATTTAGTATAAGTATTCTTATTAGTATTTAATATTTATTAGTATTTAATAAGCAAAGACCACCTCCCTGTTTAAAGACAGAAAAGACCTAAGAGAATGCCCTGTTTCTGATCAACAGGCAGTCTTGCTGGGAGGTGTCCCTTGCAGCATCTCCAGTGTCTGTCCTGCAGCTGGCAAACAGAAATCCTTTGACTGGTGGTAGTGGAAGCTTTTAAACTGACTGTTCTTATGAAAATTTTTACTTTCTCCTCTCCTACAAAACTCTGCACTACTGGCAGGACAAATGGAAGTTGGGTTATCCCAGCGTCAAGGGCTGTCCCTGGGCATAGGTTTAATCTGTACTTCTGTCCTGGTTTCAGCCAGGACAGGGTTAGTTTTTTTGCAATAGTTGTGAGGCAGCGTGGGCAGGACCCAAATGTTATTGGAGACCACCTCACATCATTTCCACAGACAGGGAGAAGGGACTCTCTTCCTGGTAGAAGGGGTTCCTTCCAGCTGAGAAAACGTGGTAGGGGAGCAGTCTGGCATTGTTCATTGTCTCAGGGTCCACAGTGAGCATTCCTGCATGTAAATCACTCTTCAGTGCATTTTTGTTATTAATATTGTGCTGTTACTGTTCGTTTTCTTATCTCATTTTGTTTCCAGCAAATTGTTCCTATCTCTACCTGGGATCCTCACCTTTTGTGCCTCCAGTTCTCAACTCCATCCCTCTGCAGCGGTAAGGGGTACCTAACCCTGCATATATTCCCATATGTGCTCCTTGTAGTGATCTTTTTCAGAGCAGCGAGAGGGATCAGGATTGCTTTGTTGCTGTACTGTGTGATGTCAGTTTATGACGTGATAACGTAAAGGGCAACGAGGGTCATTTGGGATGTATATTAAGTGTTGCTCTCCTGCCCTGACCTTGGGTGCTACTGGGAATTCATTAATGATCATACCCAGCCTGTGGTGGGGAACAAGGGAGGATGATTCTCCCAAGATTTTCATCCCTTTTTCCTCCTTCAGGCCTAATTCAACAGCTTTTGAGATGTTCTTGTTGCTAAGTCTGCCAGGTCTTCCCAGAGTGATCCACACACTTTAGAGTCAAGAAAGAGATTTCTAGGAAGGTCGTTCAGAGATCTGCCCTGAAGGTGTTAGTCATGAGTGACATGGAATGTGGGGGAAAATGGACCAGTTTGGGGGAAAATTCTCTGCTCCAATGGTTTGGAAGTTCACCCCTGAACAACTACAGAACAGGATATTTGCAAAGAGAATGCCATGGCAACTCCGTAGAGGAGCGACTTACTACAGTGTGCTGAGCCCTGGCCACTATTTAACTGGACACTGCTTGTCACTAGACAGGACCATCAGGAGGAAGAGAAGGAAAGCAGACCAGCAGCCACCATGACCACTCAAACTGCAGCTGAACCAGAGGAACAACGCATGCCAGTAGCAATCACTCATACTGAAGAAGAAAACCAAGACCAACATGGCAAGTTGCAGAAGCTATTAAGGGACAAGGGACAAGGTTGATCAATCTGCCAAAATTTAAATGTCTCATGTGGATTTGGACTGGCAAAGGTGAATTATTTCTGGCTTGATGGGCCCATTATGCATCAGGTCATCAGGGAAGAGATGCAACGTACAGACAGGCTCATGAGTGAGGATTTGATTTAACCATGGACACCATCTCCCAGGTTATCCATAACTGTGAAACAGGTGCTGCAATCCAGCAGGTGAAGCCTCTGTGGTATGATGGTCAACGGTCAAAATAAATATGGGGAGGCCTGGCAGATTGATTCCCTCACACTCCTGCAAACCCACCAAGGCAAGTGCTATGTGCTGACAGTGGTGGAGACAACCACTGGATGGCTGGAGATGCACCCTGTGCCTCACTTCACTACCCAGAACACTTTCTTGGGCCTTAAAAATCAAGTCCCGTGGGGACATGGCAACCCGGAAACAACAGCTGCTTTAACAATCTGCATATGACATACATGAGGCTGTGAAGCATGACTGGATTTGCCCTTGGTTTTGATTTTGTCAGAGATCTGCCAATTAGGATTTGTTCCAACATAATGAAGTGGGCTGTTGGCAAGATGTAATCTTTTATTGATCCCTGAGGCTTGGCAAAATAGAAACACAAATAAATGAATGAAATACGCTATAAAGTCTGTTTGGATTTTCACTTGATGTTTATTTCTGTAAGTGCTTATTTTTTTTTTCTACATCTGCTTTCAGTTGTGCCTGATTATATCAAGTATCTTCTCATATCTGTCAGCTTCGATTGAACTTACTCCTCTTCATGAACCTGAAATGCAATTGAGATGATAGTATAGGACTGTTAAAAAGAAAATGGCAGTGTTGAGGGGTTTTGGGGTAAAGTCACAAGCAAATGACAAAAGCTTCTATTTACTAATGGTTCTGCTCCCTGGTATTTCTGGTTTGTATCTGAAATAGTCTAGCAGCAATCTAGCCCATCTTTGCCATTTCACTGCACTAAATACAGCTGTCTTGTCCTCATTCTAGATTATATATATATACCCCTTTGAGAGCAGAGGACTTCCATACAACCCTGTTTCAGTAGGTGGTGTTTCCAGGAAAATGGGTATTAGTAGCAGTAGCCAAGGTATTTCTAATGCTACATGATCAGAGTAGCTGACATCTCTGTGTGCACTGTTGAGCTCAGCTTTTGGCAGTGCAACACCCTGCTCTAAACCAGAGCTGGAATTGGTGTTGGCAAATAGCATCTGATTAATAAAACCAGCTATCCACTGCTCTATGACTTTTACATATTTGAGGCAGAAAGAGAGTACTACTGATGCCCAAAAAAAAGCAGATAAAACTGTGTAGACAGAGTTTTATGCCTAGAACAGCAAGGTATTTATTTATTGACGGCTGGGCAGCCTGCCAGCTAGTGCTGGGAAAACAGGCTCCGAGTTGGTTAGGTTAGAATGAGTATTTTATACAGGTTTGGCAATGATTACGTCATAACCGCATACATATTCATATTATTGCATCATTAGATTACAATATTCATAACAGGTGGAGTTAGGGGTGGAGATTGAGGCGTGGTCTCTATTTTGAGGAATATTATGGTGGTAGATCCTGCGTTACTTCCTCATGGGGTCTCAAATTCTCTCCTCTTCATCGGGTGACCTTCGTGACCTTTCGTTCTTTCTATTGTTCTTGTGTTCTGATCACTGAGGCTTCAAGAAAGCCTTGGCTTTGGGCCTGTTTACCTATTGAAATGTCTACCTTGGCTCCTTTGGCTAAGATTTATTACCTCTGGGCTCTTTGTACAATGCACCTGTAAGTATTTTAGGTCTGCAGAATTTGTACACAACTAGATCTCCTTTGAGCAAGGTAGAGAAAATGGTGGGGGGAGAACA